TTTAGAGTTATTTAAAATTACTATTTTTATTATTTTAAAAGTGAGAAATAAAATTTTGAGCATTCTTTGTAATACAAAACTGGTGAGATATTATGAGTAATAAAAGGTACTAGGTAGTATAAATTAACTTAAGGTATATGTACTCCAAATGTAAAACAAGTGATGCATTTTTTAAAATCTCATTTTTAATTTTTTTTTCAATTTCAAACTATAATAAAATAAAATTTTATTCTACAAAGTCGATCAAAATGGTGTAAACAGAATTAAGTAAGAACACGATATCTAAAAAATGATAAAAAGAACTAATTTTGAAAGCACACTTTTTTAAAAGACTGAAATTTAAAGAACATTATTAAAAAATATATACAACCTTCCATCCGTACATTAGAGAATGAAATAAATGTTCGAGGTTGATAGAATGCGATGACGAGCAGTTTTAGCAAAAAAAATTTAAAAATGTGAATGTGTCTTACATGGTTAGGTTTAGTAATTCTATCTGTAGGGTTATGTTTGGTATTAAGAGCGGTAGATGGAGAAAATACCATTTATAATCAAATGCTTCTTAATACCAAACATAAGGCCCATTTGATAAAAACCAAAGAGCCATCCAAGATATTTAGAATTCTATATGAGATTAAATAAATCTGTCGAAACATTCTACACATTCTAATGTCCTAATATAATATGAGTATTAATATGAGTAATAAAAAATTTATAATCAGATTATGTTTTTAAGCTTAAAATATAGGAATGCTTTTCACTGTTATTTAAAAGTATTATTTTTTCTCGGTTGAAAAGCGAAAAGTAATATTTTGAGAATTCTTTGTAATACATATATGGTGTGATATTATGAGTAATAAAATTCTATCATAAATTAGTTTAAAGAACACATATCCCAAATGTAAAATAAGTATTGCAATTTTAAAATCTTATTTTTGATATTTTTTTTCAATTCCAAAATTATGAGTATTAAAAAGCTATTATAAATCAATTCAAAATACATATATTCTAAATGCAAAACAAGTATTGTAATTTTAAAATCTTATTTTTGATTTTTTTTTCAATTTCAAAATATATTAATATTCATAATTTGATCTTAAAAGTCAAAATGGTATCAACACAATTAAGTAAACAAACATATTTAAAAAAATAACTTTTTAAGAAGCTGAATTTTAAAGAACATTAGGAAATTAAAAAATTTGTACAACTTCCCATCCGTACGTTAGAGAATTAAAAAAAATGTTTAAGATTGTTAGAATGTAATGAGAAACACTTTTAATAAAAGAAATTTAAAATGGGCAAAATTATGTTACATGGGTTATGTTTAGTAATTCTAGGGGGCGCATAAAGCAATTCTTTATTTGGATACACAGGACCCGTTTGATAACACTGAACTTGCTAAATCGGAAGTGACTACATTGGCTGAATAAATCATTGAAATATTATGTTTTAAAATGTACTTTGTTAATATATTCAAGAAAAAAAATATATGAGAAGTAGCTACAACAGTGCTCTACAGTAAATTCACCCTAAAAAGTATCACACCTGAATTATTTTGATAATTTAACAATTCAGCGTGCCAGTGAAATCTACGTATTTTGGTTTTAAAAAAAGGATGACAAGTTGAAAACAAGTTGCCAAACGGGCTCATAGATTCGGGCTATGTTTGGCATTTCAAGCTATATGTGGAGCCTAATGTCTGGACTTGAATTTTGAAATGTTGCATCTGAACTATTAGATCAGATGAACTTGAACAAGGTAAATCTGTTTGATTGAAAGAGTTGAAAAATGTCCAGATAATATGACCCGACCAGATTAGATCATACCAAATCAAAATCAATCATAGACAAATCAGACAAAAAAATCAATCAAATTAAAAACATTTTTAATGGAGTCCTCCCTAAAATTTAGAACTGTATATTAGATTAGAATTCAACAAATCTCTTGAAAGTGTTCATGAGTAAAATTTGAAGTTAATTAGCTTATTATAGAGTTAATCACAATACAAGAAGAAGTGAGATAGATATAGAAAATTAAATTATCTTACTATGGAATTAATTGTTCATATTTTAAAATATTTAAATTTTTATTTAATCACCAAAATTGAGACTATGACACATGATTTGGTACTAAAATAGAAAGAGGGACTACAAAAGTTACACAAATAACCTCACAAATGAATTTCTTAATTATGGTCTAATTGAGAAAACAAATCTTAAAAGCATTTCAAAATGATGAATATGAATTTTATTCATGTATGAATTTATGCAATGAGGTCATTTAGCTCTATAAGTCAATGTTTTTAAATAAATTAAAGGTAAGATATGTTTAATAGCTCATATCCACAAAATTTCCAATGAAATTGTTGTTTTAGAATAGAATTGTCTGGCCTGTGGTATTCATTTTCTTATTTTTAAAGTGCACACATACAACTTTAATAATATCACAATACTTGAAAACTCAAATTTCCATAAAATATAAATACGTAGCTCCAATCACAATATAAAATTTCCACAATACAATGAAATATAAATCCATAGCTCCAATCACAATATGTAGCGTGTTGTTGCTGCCATCATCTTCATTTAAATTAAATACGACCGTCACAAATTATTTATTCTATGTTGTTCTGGAAAGAGATCGAAAGATTAATTTGCGAAAATCTAAAACCTTGAAGGGCTATTATCTCCAAAAAAAAGTTGACTATACCCATTTTTAAATAAATGAATTCCAACTGACGTGTAGTTAATTTTGAAAAAATCACTAAGCCACGAATGAAATTTAATGGATAAAAATAAGCATTGATGATTTTATTTTTTTGTTTAGGTAAAGATGGTTGAAAAGATTAATTACATTTAAATGCAATTAAGAGGTGTAAAAATGTTCTTTTCATTAGAAAATGTAGTTTGAAAACATGTTTAGATAATTAGTTCAAAAATAAGACATGATCAATAAATTAAAATATACTACCTCCGGTTTTATTTAATCTTCACACTTTGACTTCACACAAAATAAGGAAAGAAATTTGACTTTACTGTAGAGTACACTGTTGAGGCACTGTTTGACACTGTTTGGCACTGTAGAGACACTGTTTGGCACTGTTGAGACACTGTTTGGCACTGTTTTGATGTAGATTTCTTTGCCAAAAAAGGAAATAAGGAAGTGTGAAGTTTATTTTAGACCGTCCCAAAAAGGAAAGTGTGAAGTTTAATAAAAATCGGAGGGAGTACTTTGTAAACCAATGTTATAATCAATTAAATAAGTGATTTTTCATTAGTAAGACTAAGCAAAATTATTTTAACCCGTGCACGGCACGGGTAAAGATACTAGTTGCTTACATATCATATTTTTCATTTTAGAGAATTGAAAGAAAAATGCACATTGAATATAATAAACATGCTCAAATAATAGAGTTTATTAAGTCAATACACTCATTTAAATTAATAATGCAGGGGTTTACAACCAAGAGTTATAACAAAATTTCAAGTCCATACAATAAGTTTGATATTCTTTTATGATATTCTTTTTGAAAATTCATAATTAATCAATGTTGTCCGTCCACCCCCAATAATCGCCCACTACTGGCACCGTCGCCCCCAACAATGCCACCGACACTGCCGCCCCATACTAGCACCACTGCCACCATTAGCGACTATTAAGTCAGTAACTAAAATCTCACAGGGACTGCATAAAAATGTTTAGTCTGACAATGACTCCAATGACCATGCCTATGGTACTAACAGGGTAGTAACTGGACCGCGGAAGTGTAATCCATCACAAACCCTAACCGCTCCCACGGTACATCAATTAAACCCTAGCTAGTCGCCCATGAAATCACTAAAACCCTAGCCACCAACGAAGTCACTAAAATTCTAACCGTCACCCACGACGTCACTGAGACCCTAGCCGCCCACGATGTAACTAAAATCCTAGCCCGCTACCCGCCATCAATAAACATTGAAGTATGAACTATTGAAAGTTATGGCGTTCCTCTCACAATTGGAAAAGAACAAAACTCTTTAAAAAAAACAAGAAAAATTATATGAGATTTTGACACAATATTACTAAATAAAAAAAAGTTATAGACAAAAATAGGAATAAGTTTGATAAGTTCCGAAAATGTGACTTTAATAACATTTTTACCCTTATGGTCAGTGCAACCTAACTGTCACTGATTCAGTACGTGACTTTGCCGCCAGTGACCGTTACCCGCCGCCATCGCCTCCGCCACAGACTTGCGGCTGCCTACCACCTCTGCCGATGACCAGCCGCCGCCAATTACAGTGACCTACTATCGTCTAGTAGTAAAAGTCGATCAGTTCCTCCGGCAAGCGGCGGCATCACTGCCTCAACACCGAACATCCCTTGTCTGAACAATAGCCACAATGCACCCTCACTGCAACCCTACCCATTCTATTCCAACTCCCCTGCCCAGGTCCCCGCCCCTGCCCCCGTCCATGCCCCAAACCCTTTTGCCACCGCCCGGTAACCCGTGCCACCATCTCGGTGGTCACCACTGGCCCTATCGCCGTCACCCACTAGCCCCGTACCTACCCCACCAATTGAATCCCTAGCCGTCATTCGCCATCCCAATCGAAAACCCTAGTTGCATGCCACCATCATTCGTCATCGCAATTGAAAACCGTACTCACGCCCCCGACTCCAACCATCGTTCACGAACAGCGCCCATCGCCGATAGAAAAGAGAAGGAGAAGGAGGAGAAGGAAAAGGAGAAGAACATTAGGAGCAGCGGGAATGGCGATTGAGAGACGCAACCGTCGCGGTCAATGGGTGAGAACACAGGTTGGGGTGCAAGCTGAGGCGATAGACAACAGATGGAAGGTGAGGCGAGGACATGTGAGTGGAAGCTGAGCAGGCGACGACGAGAGTTGAGATGATGGTGGCGAGAGCTACGCAGGCGGCAGCAAAATTTGAGACATTGGCGTCGAGAGCTAAGATGGTGCATCGTAAGGGCTGAATGTGAATTGATGGTTGTAAGGTTTTACTGGGAAATTTATATGTAGTATTATTAAGGTTTTTTTAAGGTAATACCCAAACTATATTAATTCAAACAATCGTTCGCAACTACAACCAGCCAAAAACTTAAAACATCACCATCTATATCTTCCAAAAATTTCATCTAGACACACTAAAATCCCTACAATCAAACACTAGAATCCCTAAAATCCTTACAACCAAAGAAGCAACGCAAATCACTGACTATCAAACGGGCAATATAGAGTTCTTACTAACCCTTAAGGTCACCGTATACATCCCAAAAATAAAAAAAAAACAAGGTAAAAAGTGTAACAAAAGAAAAATAAATCTTTTAAACTAAAAATAAAAAATAGAGCAAGAAATTGCAGTTATCCAAACCCTAGCCGCTCGTTTCCTCCACACTGGTTGTTCAGGAGGGGGGCGGATCATCGGTACATTACTTTTTTCCTCCAGTAGCGAATGATCGTAAGCCTTTTGAAAATTATCAAACTTGAATTGGCCAATTTCTTGTTCATCTCATTCTCAGATTGAACTCTATTGACGATTTTGGACTTCTGTATATCTTCTCCGCACACTGGTACCCAAAACTCATAAAGGAATCTGCATAGCCAAAAAACTGCTCCTTAACTGCCGATGTACGACTACATAAACCCTAGGCAACCTAGCGCATCTCTTCCTCTTTTTAATTAGTTGCAAGTACAATAAGTTTATATTAAGAAATAATGACATAAATATAACCAAAATTAAGATGATTTACAAAAATATAACTAGTTACTAGAGTATTAATGAAATCATAGTAATTCATGTTCAAGTTTTGAACTTAAGTTACCACAACACTACGTTGTAGTAATGAATAGTCATATTTATGTAAATAAGTTTTATTTTAGTAATATTCTTATAAAATACTCTTATATTAATGGTAATTAAGATCGTTCGTTTAAAAGTCTTTTTTTTGTCCAAATTATAAAATGATTACTTTTGTCTATTAAATATCTATTAGTATTATATCTACCATTGTTTCAAAATATAAGTTGCTATAATGGATTCTCTATTGCGTGGATCACATGGATGTATTGCACATAGAGGTTATTCAAAGATTTAAAATTGTCTGTTTTGTGTCAAGTGAGTCAGGTTGATTTGTATGAGATATCTAATTCTATATATATTCCTAAAGTTTAGGATTGTATGAGGTTGTCTTGTATGCTTTTTTGATATTAATATAAAGTCGCTCTTTTATTTTCAAATATTATCAAGTATGTATGTAATAAATTTAGTGAGAGGAACAAGAAAAGTAAATTGGGATAAAATGGGGGATAGGGAGTAATTGATTACTCTCTTTGTCCTTTAAAATTTTATTATCTTTTCTTTTTTTGAAAAACTTTATCATTTCTCTTTTAATTAATTAATTTGCAGTTTTAATTATTTCTCTCTTCTATACACAAACCTTAACGACGTAATTTTTATTTGTTGTTTTGGCCTTTTGGGTGTTGTTACTTAGGATGTTTTCTTTTGCACTGAAATTTGTTGGTCTGATTTGGTCTGGTCTGAACTGATCTGGTCTGGTAAACATCTGATCTTTGTGGAAGTCTGATCTAGTCTGATCAGACCTGTGACTAAAATAGTCCAAAAGAAAACATCATTAAACTTTAGTCAAGTTTCAAGGGAAGAGAGAGTCAAACCAAAATACCAAATGCAGCCCAATAGAAATGAAACAAAAACTAGACGCAATCCCAAATGCCCACCACCCTAAAGAGTCAGTCAACCAAAACGTTTTGCAATAACGCAATAACGACCACGCCGCGTCAGTGTCTCATCGAGGAATCTGCTCCATTCATTACTTTTTACAGTATCTTTTAGTTCTTCTCTGAAATTCAATTCTTTGCAGCTAAGTGTTGCTATTTAAAAGTTAAAACCCCATTAATTTCGGATGTCTGCATCTACAGGCTACAACCATGACAATTCAAACTTCTGAGAAAATCTCCTCTGCTTCATTCCCTGGCCGGAGAGGGAGCGGGATTCTGCATTTTGTCAAGTACCAAGGCCTGGGAAACGATTTCATTTTGGTAAATTATGATCCTATAACTCTTCCTTTGTTTGATGCTTAACAATGTAGAGGCTAGAGCGAATGAATACAAATTTGTGCTTCCTGGAATAGGTAGATAATAGAGACTCGACAGAACCGAAGGTCACGCCAGAGCAAATATTGAAGCTCTGTGACAGAAATTTCGGTGTGGGTGCAGATGGAGTTATTCTGGCTATGCCAGCAGTGAATGGTGCTGATTATACCATGAGGATATTCAACTCTGACGGTACTGAAGATCAGGTCTGTTACATTCTTAATGATATTCCTCTGTAGTGGAGTTGGTTCTTCATTTTATTCTTTCATGGCGTTTCATATGTTGAAGCTCGTACCGAAAAATTGTGAAATAATAAAGTGTTTTATTAAGATTTGGGCTACTTCTCCTGTAAAAACTTCAAAGTCTTAACATGGCATGAGAATCAAATAGATTCATAATCATGATGTGGACCCTTATGAAAAAATGACGACACGATTATAAAAAATGACAATGAATAACAGTACGATCCAGACAATGTGTCTGGTTGTGAGGAGAGGTGTTGAAGTCCCACACAAGAAAATTGTGAAATAATAAACTAAGCACAAGTAGTAAGAGGTCCAGTGTTTCAAGTCATCTAAATTAAGAGGTCCAGTGTTTTACTGCTTTTCAGACACCCCATTTAAGTGGTATGCTCATTTTCTAGATGTGTGGCAATGGTGTGCGGTGCTTTGCCATATATGTAGCTGAGCTTGAGAATCTGAAGGGGAGGCAAAGGTATGCTAGACATGTTTTCTCTATTGATAACTATGTGTTCATAAAATATATTAAAAATGATAAAACTGTCTCAAACTTACCTGACATTTTTTTACTCTTATAAACTTAGAGGTAATTTATAAATTTTTACTATTCCTTGATCCTATCATTTGTATATCATCACTAGCCTTTTTATTTATTTTATGTGTGCTTATAGTTAGTTCCAGTTTAATAATGAATCAGTTACTTTTCTGTTGAATCGGTAACTTATTTATGCCAACCATTTTTCTTCTAAAATGCTATTTGTGTGATCAAATGTACAACACGCAAACAAGTTTTTTGCCCCCTGTGGCCTCTTCTTTGATACGTACGACCATAAAACTAGTCCGTAACATGATTGCTTTTGTTTCTGTTTAAACTGGTTCAGGTTTACAGTTCATACAGGAGCGGGTCTAATTGTTCCTGAAATCCACGACGACGGGAAGGTATAAGCACATGAAATCTATCCTACTATATTTTTATAACATATAGTGATGTGGTGATCTAAATTTTCAGGTTATTACAGTTGATATGGGCGAACCAATTCTTAAAGCATCAGATGTACCAACCAAACTTCCAGCAAATAAATGTGAATCTGTTATAAAGTCAGAGCTTAATGTCAATGGATTGATTTGGATTGTAACATGTGTTAGCATGGGGAATCCTCATTGTGTAACATTCAGTACTAAAGAAGCCGAGGTTCATTATATAATATTGACTAAATTGACATATATGTGGGCCCCGGTCCCCATTCTGTTTCTTTTTTATCAATAATAACTGTTTTTCTTTCCTCAATGTTCATTGTTTTTATTCACTTACTTTCCTCTTTTGCTGTGAACAGAAGTTGCAAGTTGATGAACTAAATTTAGCTGAAATTGGTCCAAAATTTGAGTATCATGATATGTTCCCAGCCAGGGTCATTGCAGGTTTTTTTCTTTCTACTTAATGAGTTCATTCCTCCGCTTACCTTCTTATAAAGAATCCCTCACCTGGCTTATATTGGGTGATATGCAAATGTCATTCTTCAAAATGAACATTCTAAAAGTTGAAAATAACTTCAAATATCACTATCACTGGTCGAGCAATAACAATACAAGTCTGGACTTTTAACCTCTTAAAAATGGTATCTAACTCATCAAATAAGTCTTTTGATGGGTTAACTACCATTTTTGAAGAATTAAATGACTCGATTTGTAGTAAAAAAAAGTGTCTCGATCTCATTTACATTATATATTTAAATAGATTTTCCATGAAATACCAATTTCTATAATTTGTACTGTTATTTATGTAGTTTATATGAACACTATTTAAATATGAACTCAACTAACTTTGTAGTTTCTTACTTCATACTTTTGTGTATCATTTAACTTTAATGAATTCATATTACACTTCATTTCTTTTAAAAGTTTGTATGATGCATGTATCTTGTCTGTTTTCCTAATCTTTACACCAAACCTCAATAGTATGTTTTTTTCAAGATAAACATAGGTTATAGGTTGAATTTTGGGGTTCACCTAGTCTAAATACCCGGTTTTTAAAAGAATACGGGTTTCTTTGGAGAACCTCCCAAAACCTCTAAAGACCACAAATGAACCTTAACTTTGAGGTTTTATTTTAATGGGATGGATGTTTGGCTGCAAATAATGTGTGTTTGAGAACTTGATGCAGAGTTTGTGGAAGTTCTCTCTCCTTCACATTTGAAAATGCGTGTTTGGGAACGCGGTGCTGGTGAGTAGCGATAAAGAATAATCATATGTTATTTGTTTATTGATTTTGATGATGACATATGTATATGTATATAGAAACATATCAAATTTACTAAATGCATTCGCAGGAGCAACTCTGGCATGTGGGACTGGAGCTTGTGCAACAGTGGTTGCAGCTGTGCTTGAGGGTCGTGCCACGAGGGTAATTGCTTTTAAAATACCCCAATACCTATGCTACCTCTTGGCCTGGTTTGGTTCGGGGATTTCACTGGGAAGAAGTCTAGATGGTTGAAAATAAAGTAAAGATAAACAACTATGTATGATGTTGTAATTTAATGTCAAACTAACAACTAGAGAGAATTGGCAACATAAAAAATCAATTCTCCCCGCCCCCTTTCTATCCCCAAGTCAAACAAGCCCTAGGAATCCTACATGTCTCCCCATTTTCATTCTAAAGCTTTGCACCTGCTCATATGTTTCTCCTCCTGATTGACACTGCTGCAAACATGTATAACAGAAATGTGTGGTTGATTTACCTGGGGGTCCGTTAGATATTGAATGGAGGGAGGAAGACAACCACGTATACATGACTGGCCCTGCTGAAGTGGTGTTCTACGGATCAGTCCCCGTCTGATGTGTTTGTTCACTATCAAAGACATATCTGTGGACAAAAGAATTCATTCAAGTTGTTCACCAGAATTAATTATGCAAATGCGAGGGAGTCAATGAGCATTTGCGAGAAGTATTTTTATGAACATTTATTATTAATTTATTATTAGTTATTAAATAGAGGGATTGGAGTTTGCATTTCATTTTTTTCATCCGAATCGATGGTTGCACCTAGGGGTGGGCAAACGGGTACTGGAACCGCGGGTCGGGCCGGGTAATACAGGTTCGAGGCAGGTTAGGGTCGGGTCCTAATTTTAGAAAACCCAAACGGTTCGGGGCGGGGCAGGTCCTTGAAAACTTAGGAACCGAACGGGTCTTAAATTTTGAAAAAACGGGTACCCGGACCGAAGCGTTTTAAAATATTATTTTAATAATCTCTATTATATTTAATTCTAGTATAATATATAATATAATATACGAACAACACATGAAAGCTCTTCATATTCTTGTGTCTAGACAAGACTTCCAATTAAAGAAACTTCTTAATCTATTAAAAATAGTTTCCAAGTGCGTATAATTAAACTCCAAAATTATTTTCCTCTATTCTCTATTGCAAATGCATCAAACTTTCTTTCTTAAATATTTTTTGTAAGCAAAGACTCTTACCTAATGAAGTGTGACATATTCATTTATTCATTTAATTATCTTAATTTTACTTATACTTGGATATAAGCTTTAAATTGTTTTCATAGACAAATATGTATAATAACTAGTTTTATTTCTTATGAATTTATGGTGCTATCTTTTTAATTAGCTTATGAATGATCATTAACATTTTAATTAAGGACGTTGTGTGTTGTTTAATTTATAGATTTGTGGTTCGATATTTTGTTAACTAATTTAAAATGGTGTCTTATACTTTTGTTTTGAATTTTTACTATATTATGATTACATTAATACGTAATTAATTTGAGAATTTTTACAACTTACCCTAGAAACTTTGCTTGCATAGCCGTAATTTTTTTTTTACAAAAAGAACTGCGGACTCAGACCGAATCGGCCCATTTGAAACGGGGCGGGTAAGGTCCGATTCCTATTTCAATACTTGGTATACCCGGACCGAACCTACCCGTTAAATGGAACCGGCGGTTCTTGAAAATTTATCGATTACCCGGACCGACCCGAACCGTGCCCACCTCTAGTTGCACCATTTTCTTAATGTCATTAATATTTATATTCAAATTCAGATACTTCACCTTATTCTTCTTCTGAAATAAAGTTTTCGCCCCATTGTTCTCATACAACTGAAGGAGTAATTGATAAAATCAGTTGATACTACTTTCGTCACATTTTATATGACTTCTTTTAGTTTGACACAATTATTAATAATGTGACTGAAAAGGAAAATGATGTGAATCATATATATATTTCTTTCCAAAAAACAAAACATTTACTATAGAACAATCCAAAAGGGCAAGCTTGACACATAAAATGAGACGGGAGAAATATAATTCTAACTGAAAGGGATGATATGGTTGAACATACTAAATTGTGAAAAAGTTATATACTTTCTTTGTCCGGTTAAGATTATCATATTTTTTCTTTTCAGTCCGTCCCACTAAGATTATCTCATACCAAATTTGGATCCCGTTTGGTAGCATGAAAACCGGCTGTTTTGGCTTATTCTGTTGGAATTTATAAAGTTTTGGCTGAAGTGACTGCTTTGTAAAAATGATATGTATAAATAGCTAAAATGATCATCTACAGTAATTTACTTTTTCTACTTATTACACAACTCACCGCGCGAAAGCAAAAATTACATGTTTGGTGAAAAAGTTGTTCTTATCTTATTTTTACTTTATCAATTCAATATCAACCATATAAACTCACTTTTCTTAATAATCGCATCACTTCCCCATGTCCCAAAGTTAGTGCGACGGAGTTAGTATGAAGTATGATAATCTTCAACGATTTCAATCAATTCAGTCAAAAAATAACTCTAATCTTATTCATTATAATTGTTGCAAAATTCAACCGGTAAAATTAAAAGTAAAGTGTTTGGTAAAAAATTAGAAGTTACCAAACGGGTCTAGGCAACATGCAAATCTCTAATACTCCCTCCGTCCCATTGGACTTTGCTAACTTTCCTTTTTTGGTTGTCCTAAAAAACTTGCCGCTTTCCTATTAAAGCAACTAATTTGTGGTTCTGCACGTTTCTCTCTAATATGCACAAATCTCAACCACACAGTTTTTACTATTCTTATTTCTCATATACTTTGCACTTGGCAAAGTCCACCGGGACGGAGGTACTATATATTTTGTACAAAATGATAGTATGGATACATAATGTAATTGTCATGTGTATGAATCCACTAATTTAAAATGATAGAATAACACTACACTCCCCTATTGTTAGAAACCACATTTTGGTCAATTACTTTTATCCTAATCATATACTCTTGGTTGAACTGTGTATATATATAATTTTTTTTTACCCAATTTTTTTTTTTATGTTTTTTTAATTATTATTATTATTATTATTATTATTATTATTATTATTATTATTATTATTATTATTATTATTATTATTATTATTATTATAAAAATTCTATTAAACATGACAACTTAACAAGGGAAAGCGTATGAATTTATATTTTATGTTCATGTCCTTACAATTTCACTTTTAATTACTCCTATTTATGTAATTGCCCTTTCAAATAATCAAAAAAAATAAGATGCTCAGACTAATATCAATGCTGGTGAGTGTACATGTAATAATATTGTGTGAAGCAATTATGAAGTTTTATTACTACGTATATATCTTGACAAGATCTTTACATATACGCAGTATTTTACGATCACTTTAGTGAGACAATGTAGTTTTATCAAAAGTTAATGTTGGTTTAACATGTAAAGTTTTTTATGTCTAAATTATAAATTTGATGTATTTTTATCTAAGATTTCAGTTGGTAACACTTGGATTGGGTGAACCGGCTGAAATTTATGAAATTGCGACTAAAGTGGATGAATTGATCGATTCGGCTGAGTTATGAAAAAAAATATGTAGTATATTTAAGATATTAATTATTAATGAAATAAATAAAAAATATATGAAAAATAACTAAAATGATGTTTTACTGTAACTTCAACTCATTAAATCAGAAATAGTAATTGCTCTATATAGGACTAAAAAATAACCTAAAATGCACAAATAGGACCACTATATTTTTAACCATCCCAAATAGGATTAAAAATTGCTTCCTACCCGAAATGCCCATAAGAGTATTATTTCTTAATGAAATGTTATATTTCATAATAAAATCTTACAAAACAATAAAAATCGTAAAAAAAATTTAAAAATCAAACAAAAATTAAAAAAATAAAAATATTTTTAAAATAAAAAAATAAAAAAATAATTTTTTTATTTTTTAAAAATAATAAAAAATAGTGAAAATCCATTAAACAAATATAAAAATATGGATACCTTTCACACTGGCTCCCAGCACCACCACCTTCGATCGGTAAAATTTTTGCCACTTTTTATATAAAAAATCCATTTTTCCCCAAAAATGGCATTATTACTCTTCACAATGCCAAATTCTCATTGAATCTGCCATTATTGTGGCGTTACTAATATTGTTGGCAATTTTTTTTATTCTTTTTAATTAAAAAAATTAATAAAAAACTCATAAAAATAAAAAAATATGGATAACTCCGATCGGTGAAAATTCTGCCATTTTTTGTAAAAAAATGCCATTATTTTTTTAAAATGCCAAAAAATGGCACTATTACTCATCATAATGCCAAAATTCTAATTGAATCTGTCATTATTATGGCATTACTAGAAAAGTTGGCAGATTTCCAACCGGTGATGGGAGCTGGTGGTGTTGGGGGTGGTAGAGGCGGTGGCGTTTTTTTTTTACATTTTTAAGTTTTTTAAATATTTTTTTAATTTTTTATTTTTGATTTTTTATTTTATAAACATTTTATAATTTTTTTTAATAGTTTTGATGTTTTCTGTTATTCGTTTTACGTTTCTTATAAGTTTTTTATGATTTTATTATTAATTAAAACATTTCAAAGCCTCAAGGTATATTTGTCCAAATACACATATACTCCTACTAGGAGGAATAAAAAACATGTAGTCTTATTTGTGCTATTGAGTCACTTTTATTTTTACCTATTTAGGGAATTAACTCAATTAGAAAAGTAATTTCAACCTTACTTATTTTGATTATTATACAATTTAGGGCGCAAAGTCAAAAAATTACGTGTTTGGTAAAAAATGACTGATGAGACTTATAAAAGTCTAAAAAGAGAATCACCAAGCACCAAACAGGCCCTAAATTTAATATGTAACACATTTTGTATTTATTTTTGACCAATATTGATATCGATATATCTGTAAACATTTCTATAAAAGTAAATAACCAATAGATATTACCTGTGTGGTTTTTTCATACTCCCTCTGTCCTAAAAGAAGTTCCATTTCGGTTATCGAGGATCAACTTAAATCACTCTTAAACTCTTAGGGCATGTTTACTAACAGAAATATTTTCCAGTTTTCCAGAAAACTGGAAAACTGGAAAACAAAAAACAGGAAACGTGTTTACCAAAGAAATTCCTGGAAAACTGGAGAAAGGAAAAAAGAAAAACGCGTTTACCAAATCGTTTTCCAAAACGGAAAAAATGAAACATGTCTCTTTTTTCCTTAATGATTTGGAGAAGTGACTTTTACTAGTTTTCCAAATTTGGAAAACGTAGATGCTACAGTGCCTTTGCAATGAATTTGCATACTTACACCTAGTGGTGGGTCCGGGCCCGCTCCGATGTCGATTCCATTCCGGTACCTGCATCCTCGTACCTTACCCCTTACCCCTACCCTACCCTACCCTACCCCACACCGCATACCCATTTTCCCCTATAATGACCT